CTTTTCAACGAACTGTAGTGCACATGCATGCGTGTCTGTACAGACTGAAGACAGAATTATGCTTGTGGGTGTAGTTTTGAAATACAGTATTTTTTATTAATTCTTTGAGAATTTCATATATGCATAGATGCGATTTGATCATGTTCACCCCCTTACTTGTCCTCCTAAGTCCTTTATATCCACCTCCACATTCCTAAGCTCTTGCAACTTCATGTCCAGTAGTTTCCATAAACCGCCAATTTCAATTTCTGCTCTCCATATACACATAGGTGTGCGAAGCCATCCACTGGAGCTTGGTGGACCTACTGGGGCCTATATCCCTAAGGAGAACTGAGCCTCCTTCTCTAGAATACTTTAAATGTCAATAGCTCCTCAGTCATGGCTGGGGTCTTATGAACTTCCTCATGCTAGAGTATTGAGAAGCCTGAGCATGTACAAGTCTTATGCATGCATCCAAGTTGTTGTGAGTTCATGAGTGCACTGCTCCTGTCATAGAGACCAGATACTGTTTTTCTCTGATCCTCCCTGATATCTGCCTCTTACAATCTTTCCACCCCCTTTTCCATGATGATATCTGACACTTGGGGTGAGGAGGAAGATACAGATATCCTACTTGTGACAGATCATTACAGAGTCACTTGCTCTCTGCACTTTGGTCAGTGTGAAAACCACCCTTCCCAGCACAAAGAAACTTCTCTGAGGAGATTGGAATGTTGCAATAATCTAGAGGTAAAGATATATGATTGTAGAGGTTTGTTTGACACTCTGTCCATTTAACAAAGTAATAGCAGTAATGTCATCCATGGGATCTGTATATCCTCAATCGTGGATTCCTGGCCAGATATGCAGCACCAGGCTTCCTTTGGAGGAAGCCCTAAGTCCAACCAGAAAGTTGCTGGTTACCCCAATAATAATTTTGTCACCACTGTACCAATGTAAGTGTCTTCCTCTGCCAATCATTACTGTAGTTCACAGTGTTCACAGCTGGGTAGGTCCACTGGTGACTTTCTTCCTCCAGCACTGTGTATGCATCTCAGGTGCTATGAAAAGCACCCAGCACAGGGGAAGCTGCTTGGTCAATATGAATATGATTTCTCATGTCACCTTCCCAGAGTGTGTGGTGTCTTCAGCAAGACTGTCTTGTCATCCAGTTCTGCTGGGTAACCAAGAGCAATGGCAATAATATTTACATTTTTTGGTTGTTCTCCTGGATACTCTGAACAACAAGGAAAGGGGAGTCATCTTACATGTGACGTTTTAGTTGGTAACCTATGGTTCTGAGGTGAACATCATCCTCTGTATGGCATAATAACTCCAATTGAACACACACATACACACACACACACACACACACACACACTTATATTTGTGTTCTCCAAGCATGTTTAGTGTTACTTATCCCTTCTCCCAGCTTCTCTACCCTCATATATTTCCCAACTTAATTTAATGGTGTACAGCTTTCTGAAATGTTAAAAACATATCATGATCATAAACATTTGGTAGTTCCAATACACATACATATCCATATATATCCTTGTTGATTCTGAGTTGGGATTTTTATGTCAGTTGTGGTACATATGTATTTATCTTCTTATGGTTAAGTATGTATTTTAAAGTTGGGCATCCTCTGACATTTTGACAATTCTAAATGTGGAATTTTGTTAAATGATTATTTTTTTTAATGTTAAAAGGCAAGCATATGAGTGTCAAGTTGGTGATATGGACTCCTGATGGTTGTTCTTCCTTGTTGATATAACTGTGAGGGTGTTTCAGAGAGGTTCAACTGAGGACAGAAGACCCACTATGAATCAAGGTGACACCACCACACAGGCTGGTTGTAGAGTCTTAATCAAAAGGGCCAAAGAGAAAAGTGAAATAAACACAGACATTCCTTTTTCTACTCACTTATTGTGAACTCAGCATCAATATGCTCTCTCATCACAACTCCAGCTTCCCTCACTGCTGCTCCCTTACCATGATGGACTCTGCCTTCAGACTGCTGTGAACAAACCTCTCCTTATTTGAGTTGCCTTAGCCAGGCATTTTGTCCAGTAACAAGAAAGAGAAATAAGACATCTACCAAATGCTTTGCCATATTTCCTAGGTTAATTTGCTTTCCTGAATGCTAGGATATGTAGTGTGTGTGTGTGTGTGTGTGTGTGTGTGTGTGTGTGTGTGTGTGTGTGTGTGTTTACAGGTAACTTTTTTCTCATTCCACATTTTAAAAATGTTTCCCCTAAATTTGTAAGCAGTATTGCAGTATTTTCTGTGGAACAAAATGTGAGACATTGTATTACTTTTGCTATTTTTTTAAATGTTATGGTGTGAGATCATTCAAGCTGATAGAAAACTTGCAAAAGTTAATAAAAGGTTTTCTCATACAACTTTACTGAGGCTACCATGCTGGATAAGACTGTTTTCTGGGTGTGGATATTCTGGAGGTAGAATGCTTGTCTTTCAAATGAATTGCCCAGGGATCCATGCCTGGTGCTGTTCACATCATATGTCATATACGCCTACTATACATTTCCTACCAGAAACAGCATTACACCACATAACCACAGTTAAGTTGTCAACCCTTGAATATTTATATCTATGTAGTAATGTTATCTCATCTCTTAACACCTTTCACATTTTCCCAATAATCACAAAGTTTCCTTTTGTAGCAGAAGAAAACCAAGCACTCTTGTGAAAAATCTAAGCCAGAGTTAACTGTAGCATTTAGCAACCTCCCTTCTTTAGAGTATGTTTACATCCAAACTGTATTTTATGAAAATAAGATACAGTAATAAGATAAGACAAATTACTGAACAGAAGAAACAACAAAATGAGACTAAAATCCTAATATGTTTTGGAGCTGGATGACCAAGTGACAATTCCTGTAATATGCAGAGAAGCTCACAGAGAATGTATTAGATAAGAGGCTGAGATTTAAATGAGAGAATATTTTCAAAATGCTCAGACTCATGAAAACATAAATAAGGAAAATTGCCCTGTTTTGTGGAATGCACAAATATTAATAAAACTAAATATCATATACCTGAATGAAACAAACTAAAATGTAGATACAGACCCTCTGAACAGACTCAAAGATAGCATTCATAGTTTGCTGATGCGTTAGTTATTAGGCACTCTGCAAATGTGTTACAGTTGTGTAGTTTAGTTCTCTTGTGGGACTCCTAGCAGTGGGAACTGGGGATGTCTCTGATTCTTTTGCTGGCTTTTGGGACCTGTTCATCATACTGGGTTGCCTTGCCCACTTACTAAAACTTGATATGCCATGTTTTGTTGATAATCACAGGAGACCTGCCCTTTCTTAAACAGAAAGGAAGGAAGAGTGGATGGGAACACAGGAGCGGAGGGAGGAGAAATTGTGGGAAGGATGTAAAATAAATAACTTTATTTATTTAAATAAAAAAAACTATGTGTCGATACCTGTTAATAATGGCACTAAATTCAGAACTGAAGGTCTCCCATCCAAGTTCATGTGTTCATATGTAGTCCCTCACATCATGGAGAAGATAGAACATTTATCCTCCAGTGGGAAGGACTTGGTTATTGGGATGTGCATTTTCAAGGGACCAGAGGGCCCCAGGCTAGACTCATTTCTGCTTTGCAGAAAAGGAGAAATTTTCTCCTAGGAAAATTTATTATAAGTAAAGTATGTTATTAATGTAACTCCTCAGGAGAAAGCAGGAGGCCAGAGGTTTACTTTTTGAAGAAATGAATATATGTAAAGAATAGAATTATACGCAATTAAAACATGTTGATGAGTCTTCTAGAAGGCAGATGTTGCAGCACTTGCCATGTAGGAGCCAGAGTCAAGGAGGTAGACATGTGAGTAAAATGAACTTAATGGGCCACGGGACTCTGGTGACAGATTTTAGTTACTTTTTATTTTAAAGCATATATTAATTAAACAAAGTAAGTGATAGCATTGTGACACTTTCATACATGTGCATTATGTGCTTGTGACATATTGATCCTCGTTATTTCATCTATTTCTCCCTTTCCTGTTCTCTGTTCTTTTCCTCTTCTCAGTAGTTCATATTTTACTCTGATTCCTTTCTGTTCCTTGATTTCACGTGAAGGAAAACGTAACATTTGCCTTTCTGAGGCTGACTAATTTTTTAATGGTAAATTCTGTTTCCATCATTGTCCTACAATATTTCCAGATCAGTGATGACACTTGAAGAATTGTAGTGCCTGTGTATGAGAGACAATAAACCATGGCTTGACACTGGACAGCTGGCTCAGTGGGTAAAGCAGGGAGTGAACTTCCAGAAAAACTGAGTTCAGTTCCCACCAACCACACTGAGTGGCTCACAATCGCCTATAATTCCAGTTGCAGAGCATCCAATATGGTCTTCTTGCCTCTGTGAGCAGCAGGCTGTTTGTGGTGTACTTATACACACTGAGGCACACACACCTACACAAAATATAAAAAAAACCATAAAACCTGATCAAACATCTGATAAAACAGTTCTTGGTGGTTAAGAGCACTGACTGCTCATCAGAACAACTAGGCTTTATTTCCAATGCTCAATAGTGCCCAAAATACACCTATAACTCCAGTCCTTACAGGTTGAACAGCCTCTTCTGACCTCTGTAGGATGCATGTGGTGCACAGACATACATGTAGGAAAAATGCCCATACATATAAAATGAAAACAATTCACAAGACCTGGAAATCTTTTTCTTGATTCTCCAGATAAGGTCTGGTCTCCTGAACATATTTTCTCAAGTTCACCATTACTTTGCCTTTTGTCACATTTGTATGATATGATGATTCTATATATTTGAAATAAATGCTCATTATTGGATAGAAAATTTCTGCAAAAAATGCTGTAATAAAATGTCTCATGATTAGACCATATGAAGTTATGGGTTGCTTGATATATTTAAAATATGGTCTTAGCATTATACAAGAGATAAAAGAATATGCCAATATATATATATAAAAAACAGACAACCAGGGTTCCTATCAAATATAGAGAGAGCTATCTTTTACCATAGCAGGGTAAAAACAGGCTAGAAATAGACTTGATATTACTGATGAGAACAAATGGGCAAACTATGGGAAAGCATGTTTCTAGAAATAGAAATACACTTATTCCCCATAGTGTTGGACCTTTGGAGGAGGTCCTAAAGACAAGCCGAATGGATGACACTGAGTAAGAGATGACAAATGTGCACACCAGGATAAGGACAGTTTGGGTGGCTCTGTCCTCAGGCGAGACTTTCAGAAAGTGTTGAACACTGTGAATATGCTTGACCTGTCTTTTATGTCTGTAGAGGAGACTCACCATGGAGACACTTGAACAGGCCATGAGACCCAGACACAGACCATCAGAGAAGCACAGTAAGAACATGTACAGTTTGATTGTCACATTGCTGGAAGCAAACCATGAGCAATATCCATAATTCACCCAGTTAGTCACATTTTTGTTGTAAATGGGGCCTGACACTCTTGCTGGAGTCAAAATGTTTAACAACATGTGCACAAGCCAACTGAGAGAGCAGGAAGGACCAATGTACTTGGTGGCTCTGTGTTTAAACTTGATCCACCTAGAGTTGCTAGGGCTGATTGTGATTGCTTGGAAGCTACTCAATAGACACATAGCATATAGGGACATTCCCCTCATTACTCGATAAACATACATTATCAATTTACATCCAATGTCATCCAGGAAATCCTTAAATCCAAAGTGTGCCATTGTCTGTGGAATGCCTTTTGTGATGAGAGACAAACAGTTGGCAAAAGTCAAGTGCTCTAGGATCAGGTCTTTGGGCATTAAATGCTTTCCAGTGAATATCAAAATGACATAGTAAAATAGAATTGAGGAATTGCCAAGCATGCCCACTGTAATCTGAGAGAAGAGGAAAATTCCCATTGCCAAGTTTGCAGGAGTCATTTTCATTCCTATGAAAGAGGTAAATAAATTTATTCTTGTCAAAGACCCTGGAGAAATATTATGAGTGTACATTATTTCGTGGAATTAGCTTAAATAAAATATTCATCACTTTATTGTATTTATATAGCTCTATCATTGGAAATGATGTTTTAAAGATTTTGTTTTTGTTGTTTTTTTTCAAGAGAGGGTGTCTCTGTGTAGCTTTGGAACCTGTCCTGAATCTTGCTCTGTAGGCCAGGCTAGCCTGAAATTGACAGCGATCCACCTGTCCCTGCCTCCCAAGTGCTGTGATTAAAGGCATGTGCCACCACCACCAGGTTTAAAATTAATTTTTTATAGAAGTAGATAATCTCTGTTCTTTCAATGTAAAATATTTTATATGTTTACTAAAGGTTAAAGGTTAAAGTTTTCCCCAGACATGGTGGTGGCACCTTTTATTTCAGGACTCAAGAGACACAGCAGAGGCAGACAGAACTATGGATTTACAGCTAATCTGGTCTACAGAGGCAGTTCCAAGACAGTGAGGACTTCACATAGAGAAACATATCCAACCCCCCCCCCCAAAAAAAAACCCAAGATAAATGAATGAATGAATCAATCAATCAATCAATGATGGATGAATGAATAAAAAGATCAACATATTCATTGCTTTTGACTAAACACAATGATTTGCAGTCAGTTTTCAAAGAAAGAATTTTAAGAACATGCCATTATTTATAAAGTTTGCATGAAACAGATTTCAAAAATCATTAAGACAAAGAAAATTAAACGTCATTAAAAGAAAGAAAAGTCATTATCCAAAAAAAACCAATATAAATATTTTTAAGATTAATCTTGTTTTTAATTGAGTGTGTGTTTGGGAGCCTGGATATGAGTGTGAGCGACAACAGAGGCCAGAGGCTTAGCATCTCCTACAGCTGCATTTGTAGACAGTTGTGAGCCACTGGTAGGAACTAGGACTGGAACTCCAATCCAAAGTAACAGCAGAAAGCACTCTTACCCAAAGATTCCTCATTCTATGCTAAAAAAAAGAATATTTAAAACTAAATTAGTAAAACCTAAAATATAAAACAAATGAGAGATGGATTCCAGACTTGGCAAAAATTTCTAAATCAATTCAGAAATGTCCAAAACAAGGCTCAACATTACCAGTAATTAAGGGAATACAATGAAAGGATGCAATTCAAAGTTTCAGTGAGAGATTATCATATACCATATAAAAAGGTATTAATTAAAAGAAATTAACCTACACAAAAGCAGGAGTTAAAGGTACTGAACACATGGAAGAAATGAATCCAATTGCAGACTCCATAGGAAAGTAAAATGTAGAAGTTAAACAAATTAGAAATATTTCTTCAACAAAATTGAAAAATAACTACCAAGTTCCAATTGGAGTGTTACTGCATCTCGGACATATTGAGCCATCAACTCTTGTTATTCACAATGGCAAATGCTATAGGAGGATCTGAGAACAGGAGAGGATACAAAGTCACACAGAGAATGACCAGCATTGAGTAAGAAGGATAAAGGAGAAGGCCAGCTTTACCTACGATTGCACTGATGAATCTTAGCAGTTCTCAGAAAGAATTCACAAAGTCATAATCATTTCTTTTCTGATGTTTGGTGTGGTCAGACTTAGTGGTCAGACCTTCTGACCCTTGAATGACTTTCTGTAAAATTGATATCTACCTGAAAAGAATGGGTTTATGTCTATATCCCCTCACCTTTCACAAAAAACAAGGTTAAATTATTCTAAAGCTGAACTCTTAGAGGAAAATGTTAGTAATACAAGATGGAGGTAGAGGCCACAAGACTAATAGCATAGGAAATGCACTAAGATTTAATGCACAGAATTGCATGAATAATTTCTTCACATTAAAGGAAACTACCAGCCACGTGGAGATACAACCTACAGAACAGGAGAAAATCATAAGCTTCTGTATTTCACTCAGTAGCTTAAAACCAGGAATGTATAAAGGAAAATAAGGATTAGACAGCCTCTTCATAAGTCTTTTAGTCAACAAAAAGGCTAATGAAATGGACAAGCATTTCTTTAAAGAAAAAACACACAAAGAAAGCAATGTTTTCTAAAAGTGTTCAACACATTTAGCTATTAGGGAAATGCAAATTACAAATACTTTGAGACTCTGTCGCACTCCTTATAATGGTTAACAATAAGAGCTGATAATGATGTGGAAAAGGAATCCTCACTCTATATGTGTAGGAGGGTAAAGTAGTATGTTCATTATAGAGATAAATACAAAGATTTTTCAATAAAATTAAAATAGGACTATAATGTAACACAGCTATGTAATTTCTGGGCACACACCCAAAGGACTCTATGTCCAACCAGAGAGATGCTTGCACATCCATGTAAGCTGCTGCAGTACTCACAATAGTAAGGAAATGATGTCCATCGTAGATTTTCATCTGCAGATAATAGAACTGTGGTATTAACACACAGTGGAATTTTGTTCATCTATAAAGGAAAAGGAAATAATGAAATTTTCAGGAATGACACAGACTTGCAAAATTAGCCAGGTGGCATAGACAGGGCGGGGGGAATATCACCATGTTCTTTCTCAAACAGCGACATTGATAACAATGTCCCTAATGTCCCAAGTGTCGAGATAAAGTGGTTACGGCCTATGAAACGAGAAAGGAGATCAAAAGATGAGGAAAAAAAGAGGTATTGGGAAATCAAGGGGAGGGGAGTAGGAAAAAGTGTGCTGTTAAAGTGAGAATGATTATAATAAATATGTAGAGGGGTGAGAGGGTATGGGGGAGTGGAGGAGAAAAGTGGAAGAGGAGAATCCAAAATAAATTTGTTTGCAAATGCCACAAAGAAATCCAGTACTATGTAAGCCAATTAAAATTTTTCTAAATCCAAATCAAATAAAAAAAGATTATGGTTTCATAGTAAAGTTTGCTATTTAATAGTGCCAGTTGTTATAGTCAACACAATGTTACAACTCAATACCTAAAATTGCCTTGGTCATTCTTGTCTTATTTCTCTTCTACAGAAATTTTATAATATTTGAAGGACTGGGTATCGAACCCAGCATCTACTGAATGCATGACAAGTACTCCACCACTGAGCTACAGTACTTCTCTTGTTATATGAAATTCAGATCCATATGTCAATTTGTATGAGAATGATATTTGTAATCCTTAGATCTTTGTGGTGAAGAGGCTGTGCTGTCACTTTGTGCATGGAATCATTTGAGGAGAAAAGTCTATATTTATGTCCCTGCAGTACTCCTCAAAGAACATGCCATAAATGTGCTTTATGGAATATATTTTAATTGTAATCATTTCCCTCCTAAAAGCAATGTATTTTCTAAGACATTTCTTTTTTTCAGCTTCTTCGTTTTTAGTTAATTCCAGATGTAATCAAGTTCACAGCCAAGAAGAGCCACCACAGTGGCTGAGGCTAGCTTTGAACTCCTGTTCCTCCTGAGTCCACCTCCCAGATTCTGGGGTTATAGTATATGTGCCACTGTGCCTGGCTTAATTCATAAAGAAATTTTTTTCTGTAATACTGGGGTTTGAGTCCAGGGCTTCTTACATGCTAGGCAAGTATACACTCTTCAGTCAAGGAGTACCGTGATGTCATGCTAACCTGGCCTCCACAGGAGCAGCTCGGAGACTTGCTACTAAAGCCACTGTGGCACAGAGAGGAGGAACCATTGTGGTTTGTGGTCCCAGCTCATAGGAAATGATGGTCTATTGGTTTGTTTGGGGATCACTTTGATTTTTCTAAACAGAAACTGAGCTCAAGCCAGGGAAGTCCTCAAAAACTATACATGCAAATCCTTTGGCACGGTGTACAATTTGGCAGCGTATGGTAACACTGTTGACTGAAGCATGGCCATGGCTGTGAGAGTCCAGCTCCTCTGTTGCTGTACCAGTCACATGGCTGATGTAGATGCACCCGGTCACTGAGCCAGCAGTGTCAGGAAGGATACATAGTCACCTATTAGTCCACTTTATCCTGAAATTCAGTTTCTTCACCTCCCTCATTGAAGATTTGATTGCTTTTGGAGCTCATTTCCATCCCTAGGCTAACGCTGGCTAGTCTGGGTTCTTCCTCCTTCTCCTGGCAGTTGGGGACTCTGAAGCCAGGCCCAGCACCTGGATCTGGGGTTCTCTTTAGGCTCAAACTCCTATAGCAGCTTCCCAGGTGCTAGTCTCAGACTCCACCCCTTCCTGTAAATCCCCGAGTTTCCTAGGCTCTGCTAAGACATTTCTTATGCTTTATTAACTCTGTTGTTGTTATAAATACATTCATGAAAGAAGCTCTCATAGTGTACATTCCATATGCATATAAACTACTATTTCATATGAAACCAGAATTACTATTTCAGCTTCCAGTTCCACTTCTTAGTATGAGCAAAAGAAAAAAAAAGAATTAAAATCAGGGTTTTGAGAAGATACCCTGTTAGTCACTTCACTACCAGAATCATTCAAAATAACTGAAAGGTGCAATCATTCCATATGTCCATCAAGAAACAAGCACATAAAGACAACACAGTGTATCCATAAAATGTCATAACATTTATCTCAGAACATGAAAGTTGACACATGCTACAAGGATAACTACCACAGAGCCTCTGTTACGTGCTATAGCCAGTTATACTACTGCATGATTCCTTCTAGCTGTTGAAACTACAGTGATCCACTACAAATACAAAGAAACTAAAATGATGAGACCTGGGAAGACTGTGTAGTAGTTAAATGTGCTTTCTGCCAAGCCCAATGAGGAGAGTCCAATCAACTGGTGGAAGGAAAAAAACAGCACCCCAAATATATCTTCTAACTTCCACACATGTATGCTGTCTAAGGTGCCATGCTGTCCCCAACAATAACTGAATCATGAAAATTTAAAATTTCATGGGCACCGAGTTTTGGGTTTGTGATGAAAAGATTCTGGAGAATAATAGGATCATTTTTCACATGACGGTATTGTACACTTACAATGGCTAACATGAGAAATGTTTGTAATTTGTATCTGTTTCTAATTAATAATAATAATA